TGAACTTGAAACATTAACTACTATTTAAAAAACATTGGATATAGACAAAATAGTAAGAATTTTATTAAGTTATTGTATTGAAACTCTATCAAAATCGATTTCTAAACAAACAAAACAAAATATTGAATCAATTTTATCTTTATTAATTAATTTACTTCAACCAAATACAGATACAAATCCAATAACAAGGTTTGAGAAATTTAAGTTTTATTTTCATTCAGGGATTCATTTATTTGGAAAGGCTAAACCAAACAAATAAACAGAACAATAATTAAATAAAAATATTTATTGAGGCCTATTTCGATCTGCTAATTAATCTGTTGAAATAATCATAAAATAAATTTAACTATCAGTCATAAATAGAGCCCATCGGATTTGTCCCGACTTTGTATTGGTTGAGGTTTAGAAGCGATCCAATGAGTTATAGCCTAACAGTAACAGTGAATAATAATGATTTGATTATTAGAAAATCATCATCAAGATTGTCTAAGAAGTCTGTAGAGTGTGTTAATATTAGAACACAAATAATCGATCAGAAATATCTAGTTTCTTCAGAGTGACTATCAGACTCAAATTAAAAAATTACAAGGAAATTCGGAGTAAGATTCAAGTTCGGACGCAAAATATTTTGGTGTATGTGAGTGCAAGTGGAGAGAAGACCTACAATAGCACACACATTCACGTGTGATAGTGATAATAGTGATTAGAAATTTAAGGAATCGATGCCTGACAGATTTGAATTCAAATTTAACATATTCTATGAAATCTCTCACCTCTCTGTTTGCAGAACGAAATAATTTTGTGATTTTATTATTTCTTTTAGATAATTCTTCAAATAAGTGAAATGCATTTATTTTAGAATCTGTTCTTCGTATAACAGAGTTTTTAAATAGTATTGTGTTTTGAACAAAATTTATTTTCAAAAATATTTTTAAATAACAGTACTAATAAAAAATATATCAATTTTTAACAAAATGCTATAGGTGTCTTCACCAAATCCAAATCCAATTCTTCGTTTGAATTTGGGCTTGAGTGGGTTTGGATTTAACTAGTGAATTCAAACCAAATGTAATCAAGGTCGGAGGAATCTAAATCCGTGATCGGTTTCTCAAAGTTTCGAACTAGATTTTTTCACTAAGGAAAGGATTTTTTTGAGAAAATAATAATATTTTATAAAAGTTGATGCAAGTAAATCGAGGTCGGAAGATCTGAATCTGAAATCATTTTTTTTTCGCAATTCGGTACTCGATTTTCTTTGGTGAAAAATTGAACTTGAAGCTTCGAGAATCTGGTTTCAGATCCGATTTCATCGACCCCAATTATCGTTGGTTTGAATTCACTAGTCAAAGCTAATGTTTGGATTTAACAAAAATTGGGCTTAGTGCATCCCTAATTAGTGGCGCAGAATAAATGGATCATTTTTGTTTTTCATTGTTTAGACGCTTTTAAAAAACTTTGAGAAAATCGTTTCAAGTTCATTCGATTGAGAATTGAAAGCTTTAAAAACTACTAGTTTTCCTTTGTAAATATATTCATACTTCTTCTCATTAAAAATATATTAGTTTAAAAACACAGTCAATATTCAAACTGCAATTTAGCGTGTGGGCGTCGGTCAAGAGAAGACACACACCACACCCATAACCTTTTATTCCACACTTTCTTTCTTCTTTTCCACTTTTCTGCGTATGTTTTTATAGCTATCTTTTTGTAATTTATTAAATATAAATTAAATTAAATTACCATATTTCTGTATGATACTTAAGGCAAGAAATATATCCTATTATTAACATTATATTCATCTATAATTCATATATTATACATTATTTTCATTCAATTAACAGTTTCTAATAGGAGTGTCACTTTTTCTTTTTGTGCCTAGGAACGGGAAACGAATAACATTTGTAGAGAAAGATAAGCAAAGAAGTGTACAAATCTTGGTACGCTATAATAATGCTAGAAAACGCAATGTGAGTGGTCTTTGCGCTCCTGAGAGCGGAATTCTCAAGAACAGGAACATTGAAATTCTTTCATTGAGGTTTACACAGTTTAAGCACAAGAAAAAAAATGCTCGATTTTGGATAACTATGTACCAGAAGTGGAGAAATGATTTTTCTAAAATGTATGAGAAATATTTTGAGGTATATCATGTTTATTCTTGTGTAATTTATTGACTTCTTTACATGAACAGCTTCTTTAAGTGTATCAGATATTAAAGAAAAACATATGCACAGAAACTCTCATGCCATAATATAAGTGTTTGAGTATTTTAATTGTATCTTATTGAGCTTTGATATTTCCGTCAAATGGCAGAAGAAAAGTCGAAGTTCTTATTTCTGTATAGTAATGATTTCTACGATTGGATCTCGAAACGTTGACTTTTTTCTTCCATTTTACACTGTATTTTTCTAATCTCGAAAAAGACCAATAAAATTCCTCTTTTATAGTTCTATAATTTGTTTCGATAAAATAAACTTTAAATCACACTTCTCACTATTAATTTGTAAACGATTGACCTAGGATGCTATTTGAAAACAATCTTATATTTCCAACTGTGATAGTCGTGAAGACTATGAATTCGTTCCTCAAATCTGCGACCATCACAGTTTCCGATGTTCAAAAAAGCAACCTATTTTAGAGAAAAGCATCTATGTATCTTGATTTCGAAGATGAAAGTGGAACATTTTCAAAGTAACGATGGAAAATGAATGTTATAGAGCTTCCTCTATTGAGACAAATTAAAACAATAATAAAATTTATGTTTCATTAGTTTTCATAAGATAATAAAATTTTTATATAGAATGGAAGTCAAAATTCATTATTTTGAGGTTGTCATAGAAATCATTACTAACAATAACAACTTAAATTTTAGTCTTATCAGTCAATAATACTTACCTCATTTGAAAAAAGCACAATTAACATTCAAACATTTTTATATCATTATTACAGTAACATAAAAAGTCATGAAAATAATAATAACATTTGTTTATTTAATTCGAATTAATATGGTGTACTTCTAAATTTCGCAATAACATAGAGTATCGTAAAGTTGTTGCAGACAAAGAGGAACGTTATTTTCGTTAAATGTATCCAGCCATTGAAAATGCACTCTCACTTGCAACCGATGTTATTGGCATAATACAAAAATGTCGAACCATACGAGGTAATATTGGTAAATGATGTTAATTTTTATTCCAATACATTCCGGTAGAATTTCTAAATACTTTGAATCCATCTGGATTATCACCGTATAAATTAAATTTAAAAATAGGTTGTATAATAATGCTTTTGAGAAATCTATCGGTAAACAAAGGATTATGCAATGAAACTAGAATGATTGTTAAAGCCTTTCGTCAAAAGGTACTTCAATTGGAAACTATCGCTGGTGCATTTTCTAGAACTGTTCATTTTATTCCTATAATTTCTCTGAATACATTGAATGATCCAGCACTTCTATTCACTTTCGTTAGACACCAGTTTTTAGTTCGTCTTACATATACAATGACAATAAATAGGCCTCAAGGCCAAACTTTTTGATAAAGCTGGCCTCTATCTTTCAAAACCCTACTTTTCTCACGGTCAGTTTTATACAGGATATTCAACAGCAACGGAATCTAATTGTTTAAAAATTCAAGTAAAATACACCACTAGATAGGGCAAAACGGATAATGAGCAAACTGTAATAGATAATATTTTGTATCGTGAAATTTTTTCATGATTTCCATATGTTTATTTTTGTGAGTTTATAACTTTAGTAATTTTGTTTTATATTTAATAAATCAAATACTAATCCAAACTTTTTATTAAATCAATTTTTCCTATAATCTTAAAGTTTGACTCTTCATAGGGGCCTCTAGTTTACAATAAAATGTAGACATGCTTGAAATTTCGTATGCTTTCAGTTAATCAATAGTACACATTTTCTTCGTCAGCATATACTTTTTTCCTCTTGACAACAAAATAGAAAAATGATCATATTTTTTGCAATTGAAAAGGATATCAATTAAGTCATCATACATCGATCGTTTCTGAAATCCTATCATTACTTTCAAGTCGTAGGTTAGAATGAACTAAGACTTCCTTTCAAGGCACTGAATTAAATTATTTCATTTTTTTTTCTTAATTCTCACACTGCTGCTTTTCATTGCATACATAACAAAAGGCATTTAATTCAAGTTGATAATCATGTTTCCTGTGTATTTTTAAATTGTTTATCAATGAAATATATTATTTAGACAACACTATGTATTTTTTAAAGATAAAATGGCGGAGGCCATTTTTTTTACTTCAGGAAATAACATTCTGTTGGTTTAAAAAGTTTGTTTTTCGCCATCTGGAAAATAAAATAGCAAAAAAATCCAAAATCAGCACCAATATGTGAAGAAATAAGATTAGAATAAAACGTCATCGCATAAAAAACAAGTACTCTTGCATTTACAATTGCTGTCTTTATTTGATAAATGAATCACTGTGATTTCTGAAGCATAAATGTCTAGTTCAAAAAAAGTGTTTTAAACTCTTCAATGAGAGTTTTTGTAACATCATCGATTATCCTATCATGTTAAATTTGTTTTGAGTCATTTTTGAAAAACTCATTATAATAAGTACTGAGATCTTCTAGCACATTAGGAACTGTTGATTGAATGAAATGATACATAATATATGAATTATAGATGAATATAATGTCTAAAAATAGGATATATCTCTTACCTAAAGTATTATAAAGAAATATGGTAATTTAATTTAATTTATATTTAACAAATTACAAAAAGCAAATCATTTATATTTAAAATAAATATAACCTATTACAATTTATATTTATTTTAAAGAAACAGGAAAATGACACTCACATTCTATTTTCATTTGAGATTGTCATTTTTTCCATATCGATCCAGTTGACAATTTATGCCCAGTTTTAAAAGCGTCTAAAACCTCAAAGAGAACAGCATTAAATCAAAATTATCACAAAGAAATTGAGGAAATTCTGTTTACAACAACGTATAATGGATAGAAAAGCGATAGGTATTGATTTGGGTACGGTATATTCAAGTGTCGCTGTATTTCAACATGGTAAAGTTGAAGTCATTGCTAATGAACAAGGTAATCGAAGAACACCATCATACGTTGCATTTACCAATAGTGAACGATTAATTGGTGATGCAGCTAAGAATCAAGTAGCATCAAATCCAACTAATACAATATTTGATGTTCAACGACTTATCGGTCGTAAATTTGATGATCCTACTGTACAAGCGGACATGAAATATTGGCCATTTAAAGTAATTAATGATAGTCGCAAACCAAAATTTCAAGTTGAATATAAATATGAAACAAAATTATTTACACCTGAAGAAATAATCTCAATGATATTAACGAAAATGAAAGACATAGCAGAAGTTTATCTTGGTAAAAAAGTTTCCGAAGTTGTGATTACTGTTCCAGCTTATTTTAATTATTCGCAACGTCAGGCAATCAAAGATGCTTGTGTTATTGCTGGTCTAAATGTATTATATATAATAAATGGATCAACAGCTGCTGGTCTTGCTTATGGCTTCGATAAAAAATTTACCATTGAAAGAAATATATTAAGTTTTGATTTGGGCGGTGGTCATCTTAATGCATCAATTTTAGCAATTGAACAAGGTATCTTTAACGTTAAATCAACTGTGGGTAAATAATACGAAATCGAACTTTGAAAAAATATTTGAAAATCATATTTTAGGTGATACATATTTGGGTGGAGAAGATTTTGATAACAAAATGGTTGCATATTATGTTCAATTGTTTAAACATCAATATGGCAAAGATTTATCGCAAAATAAACGTGGTCTTCGTCGTTTGCGTACTGCTTGTGAGTCTGCTAAAGTAAATTAATGTTTTATTTTACCTTGAATAAAAATTCTAATGAATTCTTTTTCTTTAGCTTATTTTATCGTCATCATCCCAAGCATCAATTTCAATTGATGCATTACATGAAAATATTCATTTCGATTCAACAATAACTCGTACTGATTTTGAAGAACTTAATATAAATTTATTTCGTTCAACACTTACACTCGTTGAAAGAGCTTTAATTGATGCTAGAATGAATAAAGCTGACATTCATGAAATTGTTCTTATGGGTGGTTCAACACGTATTCCAAAAATACAACAACTTTTACAAGATTTCTTCAATAGAAAAGAATTAACGAAATCAATTAATCCAGATGCAGCAGTCGTTTATGGTGCCGCTATTCAAGCAGCTATATATACTGATGATCAATCAGAAAAAATTAAAGATTTACTGTTATTAGATGTTACATCATCTTCATTGGTAAGTAAAATAAAAAAAGAGTTCTTCTATAACTTCTTCCTTTTTTTTCCAGGGTATTGAAACAGCTGGTGGTACTATGACAGTAGTAATAAAACGTAATACAACAATTCCAACAAAACAAACAAAAACATTTACAACAATTTCAAATGATCAATCAAGTTTTGATATTAGAATTTTTGAAGGTCAAAGATTAATGACGAGAGATAATCATTTACTTGAAAGTTTTGAACTCGCTGATATTTCACTGGTACCTCATAGTGAAATAGAGATTGAAGTTACATTTGACCTTAATGTAAATAATATTCTTAATGTTACAGTCATGGAGAAAAAATCCAGAAAAGAAAAAACAATTACAATAACAAATGATAAAGTACGTTTATCTAAAGAGGAAATCGAACGTATGATTACTCATGCTGAACAATATAAAAAAGAAGATGAAATAGAACGTAATCGTATTGAAACTAAGAATTTACTAGAATCATATTGTTTTAATATAATAAAAAAACTTAACGATGAAAACTCAGCAGATAAAGTACATATTGATGACAAGAAGAAGATGATCGATGCTATTGAAAACACATTGACATGGTTGGAAAAAAATCAAGTGAGAAAATATTATGTTTTTTTTTTTTTTATTTTATCAACATTTTAGCTTGCTGAAAACGAAGAATTTGCACATAAATTACGAGAACTTGAAACTATATGTTCACTAACAATGATGAAATTTTACCCTACCGAAGATAATGTTGGAAAAATCTCAGAGAAATTGTTCAATGATATAACAGGTGAGTAATCGATTTTCAAGTTTGCTCTAATCATAGGCAATTTTGTGAAAGAAACGTGTAAAGAAATTTTCGTAGATATTTTTTCTACACCACTTTTTATTTTTTAATCGGAAATATGTCAGATGTGGTTGAATATGATTATTGCAAGTGTAGACGTAGGTAATACTGTTTTTACCCATAACTTAGCTCTAAAGTAGAATTCGTTGTTTCTTGATCTGGCTTTTCGACGAAGAACAATATAAACTTAATCGTTTTCTAAATCTCTATTAAAAGGTATTTCTGTTAAGAGAAGTAAGACTGAGTGAAACCTTTCGAGCCCAGCTTCTATACTTGATTACACATACGATGCAATTCAGCATAACAAAAGTGTTGTTTGGTTTTCTTTTTCTAATTAACGTCAGATGACCAGAAAACATAGATATGCAGTAGTAAGGACGGAAAATCAAAGTAATTCAGAGTAATCAAATTTTTAAAGTCTACTACGAACTGTTCCGTAAGAGTCTGTTTTCATTACTGAACATATTTTTAGAAAACATAGTACTATTAAAAGAGTAGAGAAGTATAATTTGTTTTCAAAAAATCACTGATAAATATAAAGTATGGAAGACAATTTTGTGAACTTCTATTTCAGAAGACAAGAATTTTCATTCTACTACACTTTCATCAAATAGTGGTGACGAACTATCCAACCTGAGTTCACGTATATTTGATATTCGAAATGAACATCATCATATGCTCTCACCGTAAATTTCAATTAATCACCTGTTAATATTACTATTTGTCTCAGTTTATCTTTAGAATTGAAGGTTACGAAGATAAACCTCTCTTCCCATTGGAAGATGCGATCGAGCGTTTAGTAGAAATCATTCCCAAGATTAAACGAAATGCATCGATTGCAAAAACAAGATCCACTGATGTTGCTGATGGACTTACTCAAGATGAATCAGCTGCTATTCAATTGTACACGATGGAATGGCATCCAAATGATCAATCATTGTATATGCATATAAATGCTGCTCTACGAGAAGAAAATCGAGACAAAATTACTCCATACTTTTGTTATTTAAAACTTATTCTAACCGCTCTGTGGAAACTTCCATCAGTCAAAGCAACAGTATGGCGTGGTATTAAAGAAGACTTAAGTGCTCAATATTCAATCGGTAAAGAATTCGTCTGGTGGGGATTCAGGTCAGTTCTACACATCTTCTTTATTGATTTTATGTACACTCTTTTAATAGTTCATGTACTGGATCGCTCCAACTTCTCGAACGGAACAAGTTTCTGGGGAAGAAAGGAGTAAGAACATTGTTTAGTATCGAGTGTGAAACAGGCAAACGTATCAGTGCTCATTCATATTACAAAACAGAGGATGAAATTCTTCTTTTACCAGCTACGAACATGAAGGTACTCGGTCGCATCGACTCTGGCAATGACTTAGCTATAATTCATTTACGAGAGATTCAACCGCTATATCCTCTTCTTCAACCTCCTTTTACTTGATTTTTCTCATTTATCATCCTACCACATATCTGAGGATAATTTATCATTGAAAAACATACTGCCTAACTACTTTTTTTCTATGTATTGATTCTTTCTAATGTAAAAATTCTCACAATGAAGCTTTGCACTAATCAACAAACTGTCTCATAATGTAAGTAATCAGATAAAGGTATCAATGTGGATGTGTGTAAGAGAGAGTAACCTTTACACGAGACATGTTTCTGTTATGCCGAACGTCATCAAGTAATGCAACAATAAGAATGTCTGTAAATGAATAACTCATTAAAACAGAACTGTTTGATATTTTCATTATTTACTTTGGCTTGTCTTTCGAAATAGAAGTAATGAATCACTGATCCATGTCTAGTCAAATGCTCGAAAATCAAAGAAGTCTTTTCAAGATTATGTGTGAAATAATAGATCAGTGTAGATGAGAGTGGTGGTGAATAAAAGACTAACAGTCACATTCACAACTCATACTTCATTCTGTCATTCTTTTCTTTCACTACTGTCAACAGCAAGAATACAAGAAAATGTATTCATTACAAATATTTTTTGCACCAGATGATTTATCCATCTTGTTCTATAGGCGATGAGTCACTTTAAATATGACCCATTGAAACATGGGTGATTTTAATAGACGGTGATTATTACTGGTTGCACAATATCAGCTTGAACAGATAATATACGTCAGAGAGAAACATCGACTTACAAAACCAACTGCTCAAATGCATCTGATATCCCGAGAAATTTTACATTCCTAGGGCTTTTATGAAATGAGGCAAAATAACATCTTGTTCTCAATGTCTCGAATGTTGAAGTGTGTGGCAATTTTCAAAGTCATCTATGCTTGGTTCGTTTGTATTTTATTTAAAAGTAAATAAATAAGAACCTAAACTTTTGTAAGAGAGAACAAAAAGAAAACAGTAGAATACTAGAAGAGTGGATGGGCGCGAGGGCAAAGCAGTTCGAAACATTCGCCAATAGCAACACGTACATCCCACTCGCCGCCACACTCATATCCTTCAGAAACAATACAGACGTTGAAACGATTTTCAAAGATCAAAATGGCTATGAATATTCGAATGACGTGCAAGATAAAATCATTCTATTTGGGAAAAACAGAAGTTTTGCAAAAAAAGAAATGAGACAAAAATCACTTGCTATGCATTTGCATCGACATTCTTCGTCAATTCGCGTTGTTCTACAAAATCTCGACTGATTGACTGAACTATTTGGCAAGTCGGGAAAATAGAAGTTTATTACAATATTTTTGAATAGTTTTGCTCTGATCAGACGGATAATAGATAACAGATGATTGCAAATGTTTCTCTCATAAAGAATTGTTCAAACGAACGCTCTAGTTTGCATTCAAAACCATAGTATTGATGAAAACGATCTTGGTACGGCTCAACAATGGCATAAATGAATTTAAACACAGAAATAATTTTTATAACCAATATCATTCCAGAAGTCACGATTACTCTTCAAATAGTTTTGGTCAATTTGAAGGTGATTTTGAAAATAAATAAACCTTTCGTTTCCAGTCATCACGCGTAGTCATAGTACTGATACGCTTAGAGGGTCATTGAGATTTTATGTGATTCGAAAGTAAACGACAGTTCATCGTCATGACAAGCATGATTACTGCATTGTATTAGAATTTTCGAATTTATCATGCTAAATGAATAAGCAAAGCCGTAATAATACATCTGGCGGATATGGTTTAATAACTGTGTCTGCGTTTTCATCGAATGATGACCAACTCTCTCCGTGTATATCCACTAGATGATAAAAAATAGTTTTTGCCATGTGCCGTAAACAAAATATAGGCTTTCGTCTGTAACTGTACCGGTGATTAGTAGTCTTAGTGGAAATGATGCATTAGGAACGATATCTAGATGTTGATCATGAACAATTACATTGTCAATAGCAGGTCTCCATAGTTTGAAAAAGAGCAGAATATTTTGTGAAGTAAACATCTTATTCACAACATTTTGAGCAGCAATAATCTCGTCATATGCTTTTTTATTATGTTCTCATACAGATACGTCATCAGAAAATCAATAACCAATACTTACCTACCCAGACAAGCAAAAAATAAGAGATGACCTCCAACATGACTAGTCTAAGATGTCTTCACTGCCGTCTGGTCTAGTGTAGAATGTCCGCACGACTGTCTGGTCTTGTCTGAAATGACTTGCAGCCCATCAAGACTAGTTATTTTGACGAGCAACGTCTTGCAACCTAATGTAGACTAGTCCACAACATGCTCTTAACCCTGTCATGACTAGTCCGTTTTGTATGTTGATACTGTCCAGACGCGTCAGCGGAACGACAAAAGTCAGAAGAAAAGAAGACGATAAGTGGATTCGAACATTCAATCCGACATTACTGGATACCTCTAGACCGTTTTCGATGGTAATGCGGAGTAGTATGAAGAGTCATCTGTACTGGTCATGACTAGTTGTTTTTAAGAAAGTAGTGCCAGTTCTGGTCCAGACTAGTCTAGAATCTTCAAACAGTCTCTTTTTCTTGGACTTTATTATCCGGACACTTGTTTAGACCTGCTTGTATGGAGACTAGAGCGATGTATCTAACGAGAGTTGCCTATTTATATTCTTTAAATTTTTACAGTGTAATAACAACTAAGAATAATTTTAGTAGAAAAATTAATTTTAGTATTTTTCTATGAGAATATTATTTCATTTTAAGATAAAATTTGATGATTTGAAGTTAAAACTAGATTTAAACCATAGAATTAGTTTATTTTTCAATTTAAGAAATATTTTAAATTAAAATAATCGTAAACTTTGATATGAAAGATAAGATGTTTTTGAAATTGATGTTATTTTTATTTAGTTTTTAAATTTTAATTGTTTTTCAAATAGAAAATAATATTTTCCAAATGCCGATAATCAAAAAAGAATTTCTTTTGAAGGAAATTAACAAAACTTCTGAATTAATTTTATTTAGCGTTATTTAACTAATTTTTGATTTTATAATAAGTGTTTTTATTAATATTAAAAATTGAGAAAGCACGGAGTCAAACTGTATTAATTAGCAACTTGGAATGTGTATTGGCATATAAATGTTGATCAGTTGATCATATGGTTCAATCGAATAAATGATGGGTAAGTAACATACGGTATGCATGTTCGAATCTAACTTTCTGCATATATTTCTATGATTTAGACTAGTCCGGACTAGACTGCTGCATAGGACTAGATCCTGATAGAGGCCACGTCACAGATGCTCTTCCTTTTTCAATTTAAAATCTTTTTTAGACGGGTGCCCCGAGGGGGGCTGAAGATTCCAAACGATTTCGGACTAGTCATGTAGCAGTCCGTTTTGAGAAAAAGACTACACTTGACGTGCCGTCAGGACTAGATATGGGACTAGTCTTTTTACCCGTCCTTTGCTCGCCTGGGTAGTCAATATTGAATTAGTACTATTATTGCATTTGTCGTGTTAACCAAATGTGCAGATCCAAAGACCGGTTGTGAAGTATCGCCGAACTGAAAGTTACCACCATGGATAAAAATCATTACTGGCAGAGAATTTGCTGATAATGAGTCACTTGGAATTGTTGTGAATAAATTCAAATACAGACAATCTTCGAACACCTATTATGCCAGACTGATACAATGCAATTTGTTTTTTTTTTTGTGCTTATGTGAATCAAGATAATTTTAGTATGTTTTCATGGATATACGTCCTTTTATCATTTTATGTCGGCCGCGATATTCATTTTGATATATTACGTATATTGCTTGTTGAATCATACAAATTGATGCTTAGTTTGCAGAGCAAAATAGATGATAGTGAAGACTCACAGTACCCAAAAAAAAGTTGAAATCATGATACGTATTAGATAGGAAAAGGGAATCATACTACAGTTTTAAGTCATGAAAGAGTATCTCACTGTTGTCAAGGAACAGAGAATTTGCATAACATGTTCAAATTTGAATATCAAGTTAAGTTATACGCATTCGATCGCCTATGTCGCGAGATAGGAGGTTTTTCTAGAATGAACTTTTGCTGAATTTTCTCAAAAATCCATCATCTTGTATTTTGCTTCCTTGTCGACCATTTAACAATGGATTTTTCTGAGCAACATCTCATTTGAAACAGAAAAAAAAATCGAACAACATAGAAGATTTATCCCGTCTAAACAATAAACTTTATAATATTTAGAGTTTAAAAACTCTCGAAAATTGTAATGTGAAAAGATCGAACTTTTACATTTTTCGAAAAATTTTATGAATCAATAAAATATTACATTCAGTCATATAAGATATGAAAATTAGTAACAATTACAATTGATTAAATAGATCAAGTATGAAATCATACGAAAGATAATATCGAAAATTAGTTTTTGATTTCTAGTGAAAATAACACATGAAATAATTGCAAAGTTGTTACGACATCAAACCATAATTGCGACGGATATGAATGAATATCAATCATATTTTCTATTTTCGTGCTTAACGTTTAAATATCCGACATGAACGATCTGTTTGATTTTCTTGTTTGTCTGATGTCATCTGTGTTTCTTATATATAATTCATCACCGCCTATTCGTTAATTTTTTGCATAAGCCATCAAATCCAAAACAGCAAGAGCTGGAATAAAAATGATTGGCATAGTTATAAGTTCAAAAACTTGATTAGCTACAATTAACTGAACTCTTGAATAAAAAGTATACTTTCAATTTTATCAATAATAATATAAATTATTAAATATCCGGACCTGTTAACATCTATCCACCATCTACATGAAATGTGGCATCTGTACAATAACTTTTCACCATCTGAACATAAGAATACAATCATATTAACTATATCTTCTGATATTCCAGCTTGTTTCAATGGAATTTGTTCTTCATTTTCTGTACACTTTTTTAAATCATCAACTGATTCTTGATTCATAGGTGTGAAAATCACACCAGATGATACATCATTAACATGAATACCATATTCAACTAATTCTAATGTCATAGCTCGTGTCAAATTATTCAGATCACTTTTTGATATAGCATCTAAAAATCAGAATAAAATTACTATCACATTTATTAATGGATAATACATACATGCACCTTGTCCAGTAGCAACTGATTCTTCATGAACGCTTGAAATATTAATTATATTACCACTTCGTTTTTCGCAATATTCTGTATTTTGTTTGCCTTCTGACTCAAGTTGTTTAATAAATTGTTTAGCAGCTAATTTTGAACACATAAATGGGCCATGTAAATTAGTTCGAATAACTTTTTCTCATTCACTTTCATGTACTAGTTTACCTGTACCGCTCATTCCTAGAAATAGAAATAAAAATAGAATTTGTCGAGTATTCGAAAAATCTTTGACTGTTGGTTGACTAACATGGAAGTAAATGTGCATCAATAAATATTTAGATACAACTGCTCTACTCTTTTCATTCGCCCCTCTATCTCAGAAATGAAATTATATACACATAGACCTGAATTCTGAGAGGAACAGAGGACTTAAGAAGAAGGAATGTATTGTTCAATTCAGAATTAAATGGCCGTGGGTAGTTTTTGAATAACTTTTGATAGAAACGAGAGAGAGATCTGTGATTTTCATCATTGGAAAGAGCAGATGAAGATGCATCGAATTATATATAGAAAGATTTTTATAGCTGCTTTTCTATAGACTTTATATAAAACTTAAAGAAAAACAGCTTGCTTCTCATGGTCACGATATTAATTTATTGATTTTCAGGAGTGCGCTAGAATCGCCAAAGGAAGGGCTACAAAACTTTAGGAATACCCTTCTTCTAACTACTACCCGTGTGATATCCAAACCATCGGAATACAATTTATCACCTCAGTTTTTTCAACAAAATATGTCAATTTTTGTAGTATTTTGATAGAAAAGTCACTTTCTTAATGCAGGAGAAAACAACAATTCTTTGAAAACTTTTGTCTAAACCTTTACAAAATTAGCAAGAAAAATTTTCCTTTACATAATTCGATGCGTCTTTATCTGCTCTTTCCACTCGTGAAAACCGCAGATCTCTAAATCGTTCCTATCAAAAGTTATTCAAAAAATGCCCACGGCCATTTAACCCTTTGAGTCCTGAATTTTTTCTATCCAACCTAATTTGATGAAACCACTAGGAATGATAGAGCTAGGTGTGCTAATGAAGTTCCACTATAGGACAGATTTTGTTAATCCCATATT